AATCTTTTCCTGTTAAATAAATAAATCAAAATCAAATCAAAATCAAATCAAACTGGGGATTTTCTGATTATTTCTCCATGTTTAACCTTTGCCAGCCGTGAATCATCAAACTTTCCATGTCAAGAGCTGTGATAGTTGCAAAACATCTCGGTTTTGCTGTTGTTGCTAAAGATGTCTCTCGCATTTGCCTTCACATCTCCCTTTTTTCCCCTGCCCCCCTCCCTCCCTCGCCCCACACCCACCCTCCCTTATCTTGATTATACAGCTGGATGATTGAGTCAGCTGTTTTGTATGCAAGCTGCCTTGGCTTGGCTTTTTGTGGAGGAGCGAGAACGAGATCGTGCTGAGGATACTGAGAGAGAATTACGGCTGCTCATGACCATGAGAGGCAGAAAAGACGAGGCTGCCCTGTTCGATAAATTGCTATTTGAGAGAGACAGATATCCTAGGGGGACAGTGGTTTTGGAAATGTGACTAACCTTTCTAAATGGAAATGGCAGTGTGCGTTACAGTTTTTTTCACAAATCTACGCCGCAGACAAGTCGGATTGATGAATGCAAAAATAAAAATCCTTGTTTCCAAATTAWTAAGTAACATTTGATTTATAAAGCACATTTCAAGCTAAATATCACAAAAGGCCTTTACAGCAAAACAAAACCGTTCTGTTGATCAAACAACGTTTTTCAAAAGGAAGATTAATTAAAGGACTAGCATTCCTCAAAGGAATGCATACCGACCGRCATCTCTCATGTCAGATTTTCGAACTAATACAATTTATGATGAGAGTTGGTCAAAGCTAGAAGCTTCTGGATTCTAATAATTTTTGTGTCTTTGAACTGAGCTGCCCATGGTGACCATGTTGACTTGGTTTAATTCCAAAACAATCATTTGTAGAAATARTTAAAGGGCCAATATTATGTGTTTCTCAGGCTTACATTTAAATACTATACCATAATAAAATATCTYTGTCACCTTTAGCTGTTATTGAAATGCTGTTTTTATGTTCAAATAGAAGATAAACTTATCTTCTCATCACTTCCTCTTCCAAATGCCTTGATATTGGCCTCGGTCTCTTTAAGAACCACCTTCTGTTTCTG